TTTTCCAGTTACGTGGCAAGGCAAGTTAGAGAGAGCTTTCTTTCCTTTTCCCAGCGCCAGTCAAGCTCTGTCAACGTCTGTCAATTTTGTGGTCAATGTCCGTCTGTGGGACCGGGACAGGACCACGGCTTGGCATATGATGTTGAAACAAACTTAATTTTTAATAGATATTTGATCTCTTTTAATATTTTTGTACTTTAACACTCTTAATTTAGAATTTAAGTTGAATGTTAAGACCTAAAGAATATTTGCTATAAAAAATAAGCTTGAGGAGAAGATAATTTAAAAGTTTTAAATTGTTACAATATATATATATATATATATATATATATATATATATATATATACTAATTTTAAGTTTTATAATAATGTTAGTTTTCTGATGAGATAAAAGATTAAGTGAAATGGTTTATTTTTTCAAAAAATCTATTATATATAGAATTTCAATTTTTCTTTATTTTAATTTATTATAGATTTATTAGTGAGATTTTTATGCTTTCTTTCAAATTTTTTATAACAGCTAGTTTACATTTTTATTTAGTTTTTAACTGCAATGAATGACATATTTTATACTCTAATGGCTATCATCCCAAAATAGTGTGATTTTTCATCTTAAAATATGAAGTCATTTTTTCATATAAGTTACACCATAACTTTTTTATATATATTATTAATTAAAAAATTTAAACATAAGCTCATTTTATAGAACTAAAATACAATGCAGAAAAACTAACAGCTGGCCACCATTACTTGTCTTGATCCAGTCCACTCACTCTTTGGACGAGCATGATGCATCCACTTATTGCTTACATACGTACGAAGCTGGGGTCAAGCACCTAGATAGGGGTTATTACAAAAGTTCTTCCACGCCAATTTGGGGGAGGCTACCTTGTCAATTCCAACTTTTTAACTTGGCACAGCAAAAGCTGGCCGCCAGTTGGTCCCCAAATCTCATTAGCAATGAACCCAATTCCAAGCCATCTTAGTGGTTGGTGAAAACTTAAAGAAACAAGCTTGTATGGTTTGCCTGGACAATCACAATCTACTAAACAATAGGCCAGAAACAACAAAACCATAGTAAATTTCATCAGACATTCATGCATGGGAAGAATCATTCCCTGGTTATTGTATGTATTGTGTGAGTCCGTGCCCCGCAATTATGACATGGGATCCCAAAAGCAAAGGGGAAAAAAGGAAGGTCTTCTTTCTTCTCTTTTATTTCCTTCTCCCCTTTAATGTGTCACAGAAGACCAAGGATTCTTCCAAGGGGAAGTTGCGCCAAGAACCAAAGGTAGATTATTCCGTGCTAGATTCTCTCTTCCTCTTCATTCCCAACTTGTTTGAAAGCCTGTTTGATCGATTCGACATGATTCCTCCATATCCTGGGCGAAAGTGGTGTTCGTGGTGGTGTTAGTTTGGGATCGTTTTGGTCGGTTTGGCTTGTTTGTTTTTGTTTTCTCGCTCGTACTGGTCTTCCTGGATTGGGGAGAAGTCCTTCGTGCTTATCCACGCGGGGAGAGAGTGAGAGGGCTTTAAGCTTTTGGCTATGGTGACAACGATGGTGGAGATTCCATCTCCTTACACTAGGGGCGAGTGGTGGGCTCGCTGTCGAGCATTAGAACTATCGGCAGAATCGAGGATCAAACTGGAGTTCTTCTAAAAGGGCTCTGGAAGGAAGGAATGAAGAGCATCCTCTAGAACAGGTCTTGGATCGCTCCAGACGTTACTACACAGAGGGCCTTTGAGAGGGAGATCATCGCAAATGGGGTGCTGCGTGAGCTCCAAGATCCAGAACGAAGACGTTGTTGGGCAGTGCGAGGCACGCAAGTCCTTCGTCAAGCAAGCGGTGGTAGCTCGCACGGCGCTCGCCTGCTCCCACGCCCGCTATGTCCAGGCGCTCGCCGCCATGTCCCTGGCCTTCAAGCAATTCTCGGATAGCGAGCTGGGATTTAGATCCAGCGATCGCGAGGCCCCGATTCCACCGCCAACAGCCAAGAGCACCGCCCACAAGGAAGAGGATCCAGAGGAAGAGCAGGAGGAATCCCCTATTTCGATCTCCCTCTCTCCCTCTCCCTCGGAGGAAATCGAAGAGAGGAGCTCGAGAATCAAAGCGATGATGCTGAGGAACACACCCACGGAGGCCGTCACAGTGGTGCTATCCCCGCCCAGAAGGAGGAACTTCACGAGCGAGAACGATTACTTCGCCCAATTCGGGGAGGAAGAACGTGGCGGC